AGATGCCCCCTCTCCATCCCCACACCCTGCTCTGCCTCCAGCCCTCCCACCCCCACACCCTTCCCGCTCCCCACTGTGCTGGGGCCAGACCGATAGAATATTTGTCTTCAGACACAAATGGGATTATTTAAAGTGGACCCGGGGATTAAGCCCCGCCCTCCCCAATCTGATTTCATTCAAAAAAGCAGCTAAAATCTGAAAGAACAGCCACATGGACTTGCCCTTTAAGAAGGCTTGTCTGCGGACAGAAATTGACAAAATTAAAGGGGATATAAGGAAGCCACTTTGCCTTGCTGTTTGGGGAGGGGAGGGCTCATAATGGGTAGAGCCCCCAAAAGAATACATGGGGTGGTGACTTTCCCTTTCAGAAGGAAGGCACTACAAATATTTTTCTTAAGACAAAAATTTACAAATTAAAGGGGAGTTGGAGGAGTCTAAGAAAGATTCACCCAAAACCCAACCCCTGCCAAGGTGCCAAAAGTCCATATGGGGCAGCCATAAGCTGGGAATCACCTGAATAGCCATAAAACTTAAAACTCAAGGAACAATTAATAACACCCATAATGAAGATCCTTTAAGGGAAAGTAGCAAGTGTGGCTACTTACTACTAAATAATTTCTGATTGATAGTAATGATTAAATTCCAGTCCTTAAACATTCAAATCTGCATTTAATATATTAGTAATAATGTATAATTGATTATTGAAACCGATCAGTAAACATCTGAATATCAAATCTGTATGTAAATGAATCGCTTTTATTGATTAGTCATCTGTTACTGAACACAAAGCATGCAACTAAATGATTAACCATTATGATTTATAGTTGACATTGATATTTAAAATATTTAAAATGTATAAAATACATTCTCAACCATTTGTTATTGATAACTGTCAGCCATTGGCCATTAAATAATTAGCTGTTAAAATCTGTGGAGAATAATTAAATTATTGTACATTTATCCTGGGCAGTAATTACCTCACTATCATTAAATATTTAAATAGTAAATCTTTAAATAATCGTTTTATTAACGATTTACTATAGATCGTATTCAGTAACCACTTCTCGTGGACTATGTACATATTTAAATTGGGTATAATAATTAAGTTACCTGCTTTATTGATTGTAATTATTAGCTATTGGAATTCTAAACTATTTATGTAATATTTAAACTATTTGTTATTGTTCATAATCCCTACCAATGAATATTTCAATATTAACATCTAAAAAGAAGTAAATGTTTCACCATTTGGTACTGGAAATAATTAGTGGCCAATCAATGATTAAATTCCTGTGATACTTCCCTGTCATTGACACTTAGTCTATAACACACCTCCCAGTGAGGCAAGTAACACAGGAATTCAACCATAGATTGGCTACGTTTGGATGATTAACAAGACTAGATTGGACTTTTGCCCTAATAGGAAGCAAGAGGCAGGGGGATCGTGGGAGGAGTGCCTGGTGCCCAGCGTGACGTGTGTGCGTGCGCGTGCGCGTGTGCGTGCACCACCTACCTTCTTGCTGCTCCCTGGGGAGAGAGAGAGAGAGAGAGAGAGAGAGAGAGAGAGAGAGAGAGAGAGAGGAGTGGGGGAGAGAGAAAAGCTTGTTGCTCATTAGAGTACCCAGCACCTGGCTTGGGTCCCGACCCATCCAGGGCTGCTGCAGGCCAGGAACCTGCCCCCTTTCCTCTTCCCCCCCACTGACCCACAGGGCAGCCTGAACTAATTCGGCCCCAGGACAGGGCCTGGTTGGCTCAGGGGGGTGGGGAATGGGACATGCTGCATGGTGCTGTTCCCCTCCAGGGGGCGCTGGCTCCCACCCGGCCCTAGACCACAGACCTTTCTCCTCTAGGGGGCGCCAGCCCCACCCGGTTCCAGGGCAGGGACTGGCTGGCTCAGGGGGCCAAGCAATGGGGCGCGGGGTCTGTGTCCTCTAGGGGGCGT